AGTCAATAGAGCAGAAAAGTCATCCCCACCTTGACACGAGGCCCTGGTGGTCAGCAGACTTACTTTGACATGCTTAAAGAGCATGCAGGTTGTCTCTGAAGAGATGGGAAATGATTGGTACCAGCAAAAGAAACTACAGATGTGTCGATGTTCTGCAGCCAAGCCAGGCTTGTCCCAAATTCCTCAAGGGGGGCAAGGCAGAAGGCTTCTGTGAGAACTGTACTTGCGAGGCTGCAATTTACCTCGTGTACCATAAAAGTGTCCAATTAATAGGAAGAGTCCTCCTGGGCTGGCAACTGCAGTAAAGCAAGAACACGAAAACTCACTGGCTGGCTTCTCTCTGATTCCCAGAGTTACTTCAGTAGTAACTCAGATGGATGGTAGCCGCAGATTGGGGCCAGCTAGAAGAGAGGTGACCATACCAGGAATCCCAGTGAAGGGGCCTCAGGGGTCCCTGGGCACAACCCTCTGCCCCACACAACAAGTATGCCAAGTAGGACCAAAGATTCCTCCATTCTGTGGATTACAATGTCCACGTCTATAAATGAAACCAGAGAAGCAGCTTCCTGATTCCCTGCAATGTGAAAACACAACACTCCTTGTTCAAAAAAAGGATTACAAATGTGAAGTCACCGTCAACACTGACTAAACCAGCCTCTGATCACATGCTCGGAAAGCCAGCCCTGTCTGCATGGGGTGGGGTAACTGTAAGTCATTTCCAGGGGAGTTTGCCTTCACTGTCTGAGAACAAGTTAATCATAAACACAACTGCCAAACTGTGAAGGAGAAGGGGGCGGGGGAAGAGAAAAGAGGAGAAAGCAGATGAGGACTACAACAGCTAAAGTTCTTCTATTCCATAAGCAACATTCAGGCTTCACTGGATGTAGCCATGAAGTAGACACAACCTTCCTAGTATTTATATGATACTCACACGACTGGGGCATCTTCCCTCCATTCTTCCCAAGGGTTAATGTTTTGAAATTTAGTGGCCATTGTAAGGTATTAAGAAGGTAGGACCATATACCAACGATAAGGGGCTTCTGGATGGTGAATAGGGTTAGATAGTGCCATCAGAGTAGAGTAATGCTTGAATTACTGATAGCTTTGTAAAACAGAAAAACTAAAAGATACACACACACATACATGTACATATACATACATGTATATGCGTGTGCACATATATATATGTTCTCCTTTCTCTTGCCACGTGATATCTTGTGCCCTCTTGGGACTAGAAAATCATCATAAAATGTACCTCTTATTCTTAAACCTCCAGAACCAGAGGCCTTTTGCCATACAACTTACCCAGGCTATAGTATTGCCCTATTAACCACAGAAACTGGACCAACTCACTCCAGCCTTGAAAGGTCAAGGAAAGCTACCATAGAAATTGATAGTTGTCCCAAGTTCTGAAGCATCGGAAATTTAACCCTAAAACCCCAGAGAAAAAACTACTATCTACAGAGAGAATCTTGCCCTCTAAATTTTATGTTTTTTCCAAGGAAAAAAACCATACAAGATTCTTAATATACATATTGTTGTTGTTATTATTATTATTATTATTATTATTATTTTTATTAAGACCCCAGATATTCAGAAGATTCTGTCTCAAAGAATTCCTAGGGATGGTGGAAGTTAGCTGTCCTCTCTGCTGTCCTCCTGTGCATAGGCCTGGTGTAGTGTATAATACATGTGTGTAGAACCTGGTATAGTGTACCGCACAGGCATATCCACTGACCAGGAAGGCTAGAGTGATTTTCAAGCATAAATCTCCTGAAAGCTTTGCTATGAAGGCTGGGATATCAGCTAGGAGAGTCATAGAAAAAAAACAAGAACCTTTACTTTGGGAAATTGGCGAGGGACAGTATCTGATACACACTTGGGCCAGCCACTAGACTAGCAACAGACAGCAGGAGTCATCCTAGTCACCAGAGTGCCACAGTCCAGGTAGAAATGGAATCAAACCTCATGTGTAGATCTGCCCTTAGGAGGGAGCTACAAACTGTGGGCTTAGACCCATTCCTGATGTTCTCAACCTGTCCTATAGCTCTGAACCAGCAGGATCTGACAGTCTCAGACAACACTTCCGAGAAGAAAGTTCATATCTACCTAGCTCAAGTTCTGTACTTTAAACTCCAATAGCTAGCCTGGTCTACAGAGTGAGTTCCAGGACATCCAGGGCTACACAGAGAAACCCTGTCTCGAAAATAAATAAATAAATAAATAAATAAATAAATAAATAAATAAATAAAAATAAACTCAAATAGCATTTTGACCCTTGGTCTAGTGAAGGAGAGACCTGACCAATCACAGTATGATTTGAAGAGGATGAGTCAGAGCCCAGCTAAAGTAGCCTTCCCAGACATCTGTTGCCAGCCCAAACCTGAAGTCACACTTTGCACTTTCAAAGGTGGAGAGTGACCAACTAACTCTGCCTTCTGTAGCCAACTACCACGGGGCAACCTTCTCACCTCATGATGTTCTAATTTCTTAGAATTTGGAATCTAAAACAACTGGATTGATTTAACAGTATCTCAAAGTCACTTAGAAAGAAGCCAAACCAAACCAAACCAAACCCAAAAAACCCTTTGAAGTATACCAGGAACAGTCAAGTACCCCGGCTAGTGACTACCCTTGCAAAAACACAGTCCAGATCTCATCGAGGACAAGCATTAACCAGAAAGTCAAGTGCAAGGACAATTTTCTGAAAAGGTTGAAATTGTGGCCACGGTGGGGGTGGGGGGATTGGCTTTGAGCAAGACTTTTCACCCTGCACCTCCACCTGGTGTTTTAACCTGGTGATATGAGTTTTTTCAATACTCATTGACAAGAAAGTTAAAACAAAAACCATGAAGCCAACCTGTCTAAAGAGATTTTCTTCAGCCTGTCCACTCTTGCAGTCTAATGAAGCTTTGCTCCTCCCTCCCTGCTAGACAAACAAGTCTGTCCTGACTTAAAAGGATTAGTGAGCTCAATTGCCTTGGGTTTAGTGAACTCCCCAGCAGTAGAGCCCTGGGCTCTGACACTCACAGTCTGGTGGTCAAATGACCAAGCCACCTCACTTTTTCCTTTCCACTCTTTCTGGTTGAGTCTGAGGATTTTCCTGGGCTGCAAAGAGACAGAAACTTGTTTTCTCAGTTAACAGATGTAACTATATTTGGAGCCTAGTCCGTCTATATATCTTGCTCACATGAGACTAACAGATAAATCTTTATACTGTATATTTCTAGATTGCTTAAGGGCTCCTAACATCTTTACCGACACTCACTCCACCCTGGCAAGTTACCAATGCCCCTTCTGTGTATGACTATGTCATCCAGGTGGGGCTGGCCAGTGCCTCTGCTGCTTTGTGCTCTGGCCTGCCGAGTTCCTTGTTATGAGTCAACGGACTGGCACCGTGCCAGAGCAGCCTCTGCTGAGCACTCAGGAGCACTGTGCTCTTAGGAAGAAAAACCTCTGCACCCTTCTACTGCACACAGGAAGGATTCCATTTCTGCTACCACTTCCCCTGGGACCTGAATGGTAGGCACTACTTTCCTGCATAAGCTGCCAAATTCATCCAGGCAATTCTCAGGGTCTCTGGTTTATCAAAGGCCCCCTGACCTCGAGGAAGGAGTTGGTGACTATGTGGTCACTAAGCAGCTGTGATGTGTTGGCTCCTGCACCAGATGCTGAGGCGGTCAAACAATGTGTACCACACACTTCTCCGAGGATGTTACGGTTGAGGGGCCCCTCTAGCCAGTGCTGATGGGATAGTTTTTGTTTTATCTTATTATACTTTATTTTGCTATTTTTTTTATTATACCGTAAATGCCTATTTTTTTTCCTAAGGAGATACAGAAAGGGAGTCATCTGGATGGGAGGGGAGGTGGCAGAATCTAGGAGTAGAGGAAGGGAAAACCATAATCAGAATATGTGAGGGGGAAAATCTATTTTACATAAAAGGAAAGCAAAATAAAAACAAAAGAAAGGTCTTCTATAAACAAGAGTTTTCGTGATGACACAGTCTCTCCCATTTCCACTTTGTACTTAAGCTACTGAGAGGAATCCACTCAAAGGCTGGTACTCAAGGCTGTTTGAGGACTGCGAATGAACCAGGCACTGTGCCGTGATCATGGTTAATCTTTGAAATTATTTTACAAATAAAAAGGCTGAGGCAATAATGTATAAAAAAAATAATAATTGTCCCTGGAGGGAGGGCGGATGGCTCTGCAGTTAAGGGCACTGGAGGACTGGAGTTCTGACCCTACAAGTCAGGCATGGCTACACATACCTGAAAGCCCAGCACTGAGAGGAGGAGCCTAAATCTCTGAGGCTTGCAGGCTGCCAGAAAAAAAAAAAAAAAAAGCTCTAGGGTCTGTAAAAGAACCCACAAAACAAATAAAATGGAGAGAGAGATAAACATATCTGATAAGCAGCACCCTTTTCGTACCTCTGCTCCCACAAGTGCACAGAGAGGCCCATTCACCTGAATACACCTCACACACACACATACACAAAGACAACACCTTACACACACACTCACTAGCCCAAGAATGCCAAGGCTGTCTGTGACAGAGAAGGTGCAGGCCTTTTGCCTGTGAGCTTTGGCTTTCCAGATACCCAATACTATCCACGCTGCCATGGAAGATGAGGGATCACAATGAGCTCCCCATGAATATAGAAGAAGGGAGGTGCCCTCCTTCTCCACTCTCCTGCCCCTTACTTGAGGCCCCCGCCCAAGACTAAGAGCTTGGATGTCTCCCATCATCTGCTGAGGATGAAAGGGATACATAGAAATGTTAGGGAATGGTGACATTCGCCTGTGACCTCGGCCACTGATATCACAGGCCTTCCCTGCACCCCACTCATGATCCTGCTGATCCTTCTGAATGCTCTTCATTTACTTTTGGTCGATATGTCACCCAGAGGTATCAGATCACAGCAGCCTGGGAGAAAATGCTTGGCTTGCTCGGCCAGGTTTCCCCTCTTTCGGCTTTCGAATTGCTTGTGCGTTTGCTGCATTTTTGCCTTTGGTTATTCTGTTGGATTCAACAGGAAGCCATCAGTATACCTCACAGTTTTTTCCCGTCACTCATACAGTTAAGACTTTGAACAATTCCTCCCTGGCCCAACTAAACCCAGAGAGAACCCAGGCCAGCTAACTTACGTTCAGGTTATCTTCTTTACTTCACTGGGTCTCCGTGTGGTCTACAACGCTAGACATCCTTGGGTGGAATTCCTAGTCACGGGAATGCACAATGCAAAGAAGGGGCACAAGTGGCTCTTCCTCCCATTTACAGAGTCTGCCTGGGTATGCGATCACATATCCACAACTTCCATATTTGGCTGTCACTGAAGAGTATATATTTTACAAGTGCTTTTTTTTTAAAGAGCTCATATAAATAATACTTTGTATACTGTCAGAGATCCACTTAAAAGTTTTTTGCTATTAAAATAACACATGTGTTCTTGCATCCCTTGGAGGTGCTTCTAGAAGGTTTTAGTTGTTTATCCAAAGGTCAAATAAGCTCTGGAACAAAATGGAGACGATCAAACTCGCTTGTCGTAACACTTGCTTCTTACCTTTTCAGAACTGAGGAGAGAAGCAAACTTGCAGTTGGTAAGCAGGGATGAGTCATTAAAGCCAGAGGCTTGCTTCCCCAGCCCTTCTGAAACGGGAAGACTTAGTTCTGCCAAGCTTCCAACCCAGAATCCAAACCTTTGCCCACCTTCCTCTGAAACTAGATGCTAAGCCCACGGTGTGACAGCTGAGTACATGCAGTCACCCAGGTGATTCTGTGGAGATGGCTCTGAGCCCCGTAGACACATTGCTACTGTCTGGTTCAGGCACTCTGCCACCTTCCCCAGAGACCTGGCTGGGTTGATCACATCATACACGTTTGCTGGGCTGGGGGTGGGGGTTTCAGAGAAGAAGGCCTTTTCTTTATTGATATTCTCAGTGTGCAAAGCCTGGCCTTAACACAGAATTGATTTAGTCTGGAGATGTAGCTCAGATGTAGAGCACATTCTTAGCATGCATGCATGCATCAGGCCCTGGGTTCAATCTCTAGCACCGTTCTAATAGTGATCCTGGTTGGGGGCGGGGGGATGATGATGATGATGATGATGATGATGATGATGATGCTAGAACTAGGAAGACAGACAGTTGGTAAAGTTCTTTCTGTACAATGATGAGGGCCTGGGTTCAGTCTTCAGAACCTATGGACAGGCAGGGGATGACACACAACTTTAACTCCAACAATAGAAACCCTAACTAGGACATTCAATAAAGTCTTTGCTTTAGAGACTCTATTCTTATCCACAAAAATTGTGGCCTCTCTCTATGACCTGAACATGGAATCATAGTCTGATACAGGAAGTAAGGGCAATGGTCATTTCCAAAGATATCCAGTTTGCAATATGTAGAAAACCAAACTCAGTACTTCCTTCTTAAACCTTTCATGTAGATCTGCTCATTTTTTATTTGTAGCTTAAATAATGGCACTGATATTCTCAAAATTACTTATGTCAAGGTCCTGAGGTTGCCATGATGACTTCCACTAAGACAGTTTCTCCTTCCTGTCTCCCATCTGCTTTATCTTCCAATGTCCATTCCCTCATTTCTAGCTGACCATGGCAAACTCTTCTTCAAAATCTTGCGCACACATGCACACACACGTACACACACACGTACACACACACACACACCTGTCCTCAACCAGCCAGTTTGACCTTTCTCAAATCATAATCCTACCACAGATTGTTGTCCTGACGCCAGACAGCCCTTAGGCTCCAATCTCTAGGACTTTCGTGATCATGAACACACTTGATTTCCACCTTGTGAGAAAGCTTGAGCCAGAAAACACAGCCAAACTGCGCCTGAATTCCTGAATTATAGAAACTCTGAGGCAATAAATGGTTTTCTAAGCCACTGAGCTTTGGAATGATTTGCTATGTGATCATAGATATCAATATTAAGAATTAAATAAAATCACAAAACAAAGGGCTTAGAATAATTCTTGCTGCATAATCAATCAATCCTGGCTAATATTATTATTGTTGCTTGGTTAGACATAATACTAGATGAAATATTCTTAATGGGAGGAGAGATGGAGTCTATTTATCTACTGCATGCCAACCCCGCACAAAGGGCTTAACCCAGAGTCTTTCAGCTAGTATTTTGTTGACCGCAAGGTTAAACAAGATGGGCTATGGATGTAGCTCGGTTGGTAGGGTGCTTTCCTAGCATGCATAAGGCCTTGGGTTCAAACACTGTATGAGCAGGGCATGTTAGTACATGCATACCTGTAACCCCAACACTCACAAGGTAGAGGCAGGAGGATCAGAACTTCAAGCTGGCCAGGCGGTGGTGGCTCACGCTTTTAATCCCAGCAGTTGGGAGGCAGAGGCAGGTGGATTTCTGAGTTCGAGGCCAGCCTGGTCTACAGAGTGAGTTCCAGGACAGCCAGGGCTACACAGAAAAACCCTGTCTCGAAAAACAAAACAAAACAAAACAAAAAAAAGAAAAAGAACTTCAAGCTGATCCTCCACTGTAGATCTGGATCAAGGCTAGCCTGGGCTACATGAGACCCTGTCTCAAGAGGGCAGGGGAAGAATAAATAGGAAAGAATGAATTAAGTCTTCTAGACTCTTATGTGGACTGTTGAGAGTTGGGGACATAATTTGGTTCCCAAGGTCCTTTCTCTAACCTGAAGGTGAACCAAGGGATGTGGTTAATATCTGAGAAACTGAGGCACACTGTGTGTCTGAGTATTCATTGCTTTACTGAACCAAGGGTTTGTCTCCCAGGAGACCAGTTGTTTTTTTGTTTTGTTTTTGTTTTTTTCAAAACTGGCCCATGTCTGCCCCACATTCTTAGAAGACACAGAGAAAACATTGAAATAAGCAGTAACTGCCTTCTTCCCTGGCCTGCCAGACTAATCCTGAGCTGTGGATGGGAGGGAAGAGTGGAGACTTGATTGAAGAAATATATGCCAGAGGGGCTGTACACACAGTTCTCACCGCAAAGAGGCCACGTCTACTTAGTGACAAAGAGAAGCCATACATGTCATCAAAGCATTAATAGCCCCATTGCCCTCCCTCCCCCTCACTCTTCCTTCCACCCACATTTCACCCACTCAAATGACTTCCTCTGTGACATCTTTCCCAATGTTCAAGATAAATGTCAGAACCGTTGCCCTGAGCCTGTCCTCCCCTTACCAAGGATGCTCGCTCCCGGTGAGGGCTTGGCCTCCATTGCTGGAGTCAGAAGCTGTGACCTAGTTCCTGAAGGGCAAGGACAGCATCCCATTGCTCTTTTGTTCCCGGCTCAACGGGACTAACAAAGCAGATGCTGATACAGAATAAATAGGTGTTTTGTTTCCTCTTTGTGCTCCTTCCTCCCCACCCCCCACCCCAGGACCAAACATCTGCAGAAGTTGGTCCACTTTAATCTGGAAGCTACATGCCCACTCTCCCTTAGTCTAAGCCACTTATCCTCAAAGTGTAGTCCCCGAGATCACAGCATCACTGTCACTTAGGACTTTATCAGAAACCCCCATTCTCACACCCCCACTAAGACTGACTAGATAAGAAACTCTGAGGCTACCATTAGCAGTGATCTGTGTTTTAACCAGCTTGCCATATGATTCCTGTCACACAAATTCTAAAATCCCCATTAAAATACATGTGGAAAAGACCTTCCAACCCAGACTGAGTTAAAATTAAGATTAAAGAATTCTAGACAACACCCCATACTGTAAAATGTCCAGGATCAATGAAACTCCCCCCATACCACACACTAGTTTCCCCCAAAACAGTTCAACTGGCAGTTAAATGAACTCAACAAATTTATTTTAAATGTGCAAAATGAATTTTCATATCCTAAGAATAACACCAGATGTTTTACCTTTTTTTCCTAATTGATTTTCCAGCCTACAGCAATTCATCTTTATATTTTCCAGTTGGGTCCTGGTGTAACAAAAAGAGTGCGTTCTGGCAGGAATGTTACAGTAAGCACCCTGAATCTTAAAACAAGTGTAACTCGGGCTGCCATGCCTTATCTGCTTGTTGGTCTTCCCCCAAACACAGAAAAACAGCTTTAGGTACCAGGCAGATCTGCACTGGCAGGAAGTCCAGAATGAGCCTTTTCAGGAGACTGGGTCTCCAGGCTCTCCGACAGCTGGCTGCAGAGCTGAGTTCTGGGCATTTGGCCCAAGCCTGAGCTCTTCCCCAACAGAGAGTTCCTGCACTCCCTGGTACGGAAAGACTCTGACTCTGAAATCTGCAAGTAAACACTGTTTTTCATTGAAAAGACTTGTCTCTAAAATGAAAAGAAACGGACTGTGTGATAAAGGTGAGTGGTGTTAAGGGACAGGGAAGGAGTAAGTTATACTCAAAGAAGCAGCCACCCAAGGAGGACCCAGCCTCTGCACTCCTGGCAGAGCTCAAACAATCCTCTACTGTTGGCCTATGGGCCTTGCTTGGCTCTGCGGAGCTAGAGGCCCTGTTCCTGAATGCTTAATTGGGTGAAAGGTCACCGCAGACAGGTTTTTCTGAGCTCACAAAAGTGCTTCAGAGTCTGAGGGAAGACAGGGAAACAGAAGCCTCCTCTTTGAAGCATGCAACTTCAAAGGAGGCCTCCCCAGCTTGGAACCAGGGGGTGGGGTGGGGGTGGGGCATGATGAGGGTGGCAACTCGGCAGCGAAGAGCCCAGAAAGCAATGCTGTCAAAAGCAAAACCATACTCCTGAAGTAGATGGGAGAGGTTGGCATGCTCCCTTGGAAGCTTCTCAGAGCTGGCAGGTTTGAGCCCTCCGGTCTAGAGCAGGGTTTTAATGTGGTCTCCTAAGAGCAAACCAGCCCGTCTAGCTGGAGTACACTGCAGAAGGAAGCCTGTCTGAAATTAGGGGGCCTCAATATTGAATCACAAAACGGGTCTGCTCTTAAAGCTCTTAAAGGGTACTTAAAACTAGTACCTACCTCTCAAAACACCCGGGGCCATTCCTGGTCTTTACAGTAAGGCATCATGGGTTCCTTTGTAAACATTCAGGCAAAAGTTCTGCAATTAAAGAGCCAGCTTCTTATTTCAACTCCCTCCCCAGGCTCCCGCTGAAGAGCTCCACACACACATCCCTTTCCCAGAGATACCAACTCAGTTTCTGGGAGTATTGTCTATTCCTTTGTTTTGAGACAGGGTTTCTCTGCATAGCCCTGGAACCCACTCCTTAGACCAGGCTGGCCTCCAACTCAGAGTCCCCTGCCTCTGCTGGGATCGAAGGCATCTGCCACCACTACCAGGCTATTCCCAACCTCTTAATTCCTAGCCTCAGCCACACAAGCGATTAACCACTCCCTAAAATGTTTTAAAAAGTCATCTACATTTAGCATTCACAAATGACGTTTCTTGTTGTCAAAGTGAGAGAAGTAACAGCTCAAAATAAACTTCAGATACTTTTTAAAGACCTATAGATGAAGTCAGACCAAGCCCTTGGGCCTCACCTAAGGGGACTAAATTCACAATAATTAGTACACTCTGGCTGTCTGATTGTCAAGCTTATCCTCCTCCAGGAATGTGACAGGAATAACCTGGTCTCTCAGGGTCACCCAACCCCTAAAAGGTGCCAGGTTCATTGACCATGTTTACTATATAGGAGATGTAGTTACTGCCAGAGAAGATCTCAATGAGAACTCCCTTACCCCCAATTCAGGTATTTTCTACAACACTATTAAAAGCCACAAGAGCCATTTATAAATGTCATCATCATAGTCTTTTAATATTTTACATAAAAAACTGTATACACAGCTTATAGAACTTTTATGTAAACATCATAAGCTCACCACTTTGTCATCTGTCAGTTTATTTAAAAAAAAAAAACCAAGACAATTTATTAGAAGTACCACTGGGCTGGGAAGGGGGGGAGGGTAAGGGGGAAGGCTTTTCTCTGCTCTGCACATAGGATGTACAGAAAATTTCACATAGACTTGTCTTGTGAGGGTGGGGGAGGTTTAAATAGACCTCAATACGTGTTGCCTTCCTTTACCAAAACTGTGCGTATGCTACACAAATTAAAAAAAAAAAATTCACACTTTTGACACTTTTTTCAAGAAAACAAAGCAAAAACTAGTTGGTTTTTTTGTAATCTCTTTAAAGTCACCATAGCTTTAAAAAAAAAAATCAGAAGTAGATGAGGTTACAGCATACAAGTGTGGTCAGAATGCTGTCTTATGCAAATGATAAGCGCACTGGGTATCAAACAATGAGACAATTGTGCAAAGAATTCTTTCATCAACAACAACAACAAAAAAGCTTCAGCCTTTAAATAAATTCAGTAACAATAGTCTCTTGGACTGAACAATGTTCACTTGTAGGACAGGCACAAAGTTCGCTTATGGCAAAAGTGACCCCATAGCACACCCTGGATCCTCTGCCGAGGTGGCTGGAAAGGAGGTTCGCTGGGAGGCTGGTCCAGAAGACACTGTCTGGGAGCTGCTTCCTCTCAACCCCAAGTCAGTTGCAAATGTCTTCCCCAGGGTATGGAAAGATGGCCAAGTCCAGTTCATGCTTAGATGGGTGGGCGCCTGACCCAGCCTGGAAAAGGAGTTGCTCTTGGGCCCTGGTCACACCACTCACCACCACTAAACAATACCATTCTGCCTCCGAAAATAAAATCTGTATTTATGTAACATCCCCATCCTCCCCAGCCCTCCCCTCCCGTGATTCCAGGGGTCTATGTTACAGACATGGAGCAACAGTAGTGGCTTGCTGGTTACAAGCGAACATCTGCTGGGGCGCGACCACTCTGCGTGCCCCTGGGGAAACCAGAGGCGGGGGTGGGGCAGGAGTCGGGTGGGGGGGGTGTAAGGAATCGTACACACACACAACCACACTTTGAGGCCTGGCTCTTCAGAAAAGGATGCTCAGGAACCCCTTGGCACTCAGCAGGGCACCCAGGCCTGTGCCACACAGCTGGACACACACAGACACTGGAAAGGGGGGGCTCGGTGCCCACGCTAATTCTCAGCGTGACCAGCCAGAGCCACCAGCAGATGTCAGGCAGTCTGGTGGTGTCCTTGGGAGGCTTGGGTCTCCCTTTCTCCTGGTTCGTGGGCGACCGGGCCAAGGAGGGGGGAGCCACGCTGGCAAGGGCGTGAGGCAGGGCGCGGCCCTCATAGCACCTTGCAGCAGTTGATGCAGCCATTCTGGGATCCGTAGCGCTTCTGCAGCGCGGCGCGCGTGGCCGTCTCGAAAACCTCGCGCACGCCCTCCTTGGTCTTGGCCGAGCACTCGAGGTAGTCATAGGCTTGGATGCGCACCGCCATGGCGCGGCCGTCATCCGTGCGCACTGGCTCCTGCTTCATGCGGGCCAGCTCCGTGCGGACATGCTCATCGCTGCGCAGGTCTTTTTTGTTGGCCACCAGGATGATGGGTACATTAGGACAGAAGTGCTTTACCTCGGGCACCCACTTCTCGGGGATGTTCTCGAGAGAGTCCGGGCTGTCCACCGAGAAGCACATAAGGATGACGTCGGTGTCTGGGTAGGAGAGCGGCCGTAAACGATCGTAGTCCTCCTGGCCCGCCGTGTCCCACAATGCCAGCTCCACCTGCTTGCCGTCCACCTCGATGTCCGCCACATAGTTCTCGAACACGGTGGGCACGTACACCTCCGGGAACTCGTCCTTACTGAACACGATCAGCAGGCACGTCTTGCCGCACGCGCCGTCGCCCACCACCACCAGCTTCTTGCGGATGGCCGCCATGAGCTCGCCGGGCGCCGGCAGCAGGAAGGGCCCGCGAGCGCCTCGCCGCCGTCCGGCTCCCTGGTTGCCGCTCCCCGCTCTCCCGCGGCCGCGCGCTGCGGGCTAGGCTCGCTAACTGCACCTGGACCTCTCGGCGGCGCGTTCTCTCGGGGCGCTCCGGCTGCCTCGGCAGGGGCGCAGGGGCCTACGGTGCGCGGAGTGTCGTCCCGCTGCTGCCGGGCGGTGCTGTGGTCCTCGGCGGTCCCGGAACTGCGCTGCTTTGTGCGAAGTGATGGCTGACAACTGCGGACCCGGCCTAGATTCTTTCCCGAGGCGGGTTCTCTCTAGACCTAGGGTACAGGGGTACAGGGGCGCAAACGACGTAAACCGGACTGCGGTGGCAGATGCGGGCTGCGGCCCTAGCGCCCGCTATTTAAAGAGTCCGGCCACTTTCTTAATATAGCCACCCAATGGGAAGCCATCGGGCTGAGCTCATCGCTGCGGAGCTTGGCTACGATTGGCCGCCCGCTGCAGTCCGAAGGCGGGCTCGCGTCAGCTTGATTGACCGCCCTGTCCGCCGGGCTGGGAGAGGCGGTGACTGTGGAGTCTGCGCGGCGACCAGCCCCGTGGGGTTGTGTGGCCGCCGGGTCCCCGCCTTCGTCGCAGCCTCTGTGAGCTCGGCACGGTGGAGCAGGCAGCCTGGAGCCCTCCGGGTCTGGGCGGGCAGTTCCGAGATGAGCTACACTTTTGTGGGGCGTTGGCTGCTCCCACGGCTTCAGATTTATCCTAGCTTCCGAGCGAACTCTGGGTGATCAAACCTGGGGGAGGGGCGGCGCCTTTAACGTGGTTTTGTTTTCACTTAAACAGACACCCGTGCAAGTTTTTGTTACCTAGCCAAGGATTTCGTTATTTCTTACTTTCTTTAGGTGACTAACACCTCCCTCTTCTGCTCTGGGCCGAACTCTGGCACTTGCCCAGAGGCAGCCTTTTCACAGAGAGAGGCTGACAGTAATTTGTGTGGGCCTGGGTGAGTCCCTTCTAGGCTTATCTCGAAGCCAGCACTTAGGTCTCCTGGTGAAGAAGATAAGGGGAGGAATCGAGGAGAAGCACAGCTGTAGGACAAAGGAAAGAGAGGTGCAGGGCACGCCACTGAAAAAGAAACCATCTTGGAAAGGCAACCTTCACCCAGTTCTACGACATTACATCTGATTCTAGTGCTAAAGCCAGAGAACAGCTTGAAGTACACTGTACAAGAAACCCCATCCATGCCAACAACTCTCAGCGAGCAGATGAAAAGCTTGACGCTGGGGAAGGTAGGCATGCAGCCTCACAGGAGACTTGGAGGTGGGCACACGGTTACTGTGCAGAGGATAGTTTCTTGGTATACACCAGGTCTTAATTCATGAATTACCCCATCCTGCAGGAGATGACACCTCCTCCTATCTTAAAAGCTCTGAGTCAGTAAGAAATAGGGCAGAAAGCAGCATAGGGAGTCAAGGAGGGCCTTCCCCCCAAAAGAGAAACTGAACAAAGGGAAAAAAAAAGAGCAAAGAAAATGGCTTAATACAGCTGCTTGGGGTACCTCATGGAGAGCTAGGCCAAGGGTACCAGCTAAGAAAGAGCTTTATCAATGACCCACCATGTCATGATGAGGTTATTGCCCATTTCTTTGTTTCCCTCCCTGGACTATCAGTTGCCTGAGGGCTAAGATTTCCTCTCATATGAGCATAGTGAAGACCTAGTACTATACCTGGCCCTTCAAAAGAATCAGTAAAATTGGTCGGTGTGGTGGTAGGCCTGCCCACCTGTAGACCCAGCCACACAGGAGGCTCAGGAGTTGATCTTCTGAATCTAGGGATTGGAGGTCAGTCTGGGGAACAAAGTGTGACAGAGGGGGGGAGCAAATGACTTTGGGAGCTAACCCAGTTCCTCAAAAGTGGGACTTCTTAGTTCTTAACACCAGATTCTGCTATAACCTGACCAAACACATATAGCCAGCCAATGTTTTCACATATAATTCCAATGTTACAGTTTCTATGTATCTGTACAGATGTAATCAAGCCACATGTGATGATGTTCCATCCGTGCCAGGAGAGCTGAGGTTCCGCACTGTGGATCCTCTCCACTACAGGGCCCAGGCATTGTTTCTCTCTGCTTTAGTTCAGACCTAAGGAACTGTCACATGGTTTGGTTTGTATTGATTTAGGAAGTCAGTCTGGATACACACACACACACACACACACACACACACACACACACTACATATGCCTGTTAGGG